GAGTCTGGTCCACAACTCCGAGATGGTCATACCCCCGCCATGGGAGCATGAGCCATCCACGAAAGCCACCTCAGCGTGCTTCATGCCCAGGCACGAGAGGCAGCGATCGTGACCATCACCCAGCGCCAGGTAACGACCGCATCCAGAATGCCCGGGTGATACGTTGTCTATAGCAAGACCCACATCGTCTTTATAAAGACGTAACGTCAAGTTTGCTAAGCAACGTCGTCTTTAGAAAGACGCACCCGAATTTGCTCTTTTAGGGGAAAAAGCTCTTTTAGCGTGCTGGGCGCACAGGGGAGATGATCATTTGCAACACAAACAGGGGGTAGTGCAGCCTGATGTGTGCAACCCACTCGACACGGGAAACCACCACCGCTGAAGCGCCGTCCGCCAACACGAAGAGCTCTCCAAGAGCGTGCTGAACTCGTTCAGTCTTCTTCTCTCCGTAGAGTAGTCAGGAGCAGAACGATGTGATCGCTCGGCTCCGAAGCGAAAAGCTGAATATGCGCTGCATCTGCTACTTACTTATACTCACGCTGTGATCAGCAGCAGCTGGATGCAATAATCGCATGCCAATGTGCATTGGCTCATTTAGTTTACACTCGAAGTAGATTGGTCCCTCTAAGCGAGATCCCAATTCGTCGGTCATCCGACGTGACGTCGAGAGTGACCGACTGAAAGGGAACTACACTTTCAATGTGATTTTAAACCATTCAAGTCAAGAAGACTCACGGGCTGTTTTCTCTGATACACACATCCTTGTGTAAGTGTTTTTTAGCCTGTTGATGTTCATTCATAGTATTCCGCTAGCTATGAAATATTTTGCAATAAGATGATATCTAAGATTTATTTATTTATGTTTTTTTTTTTTTTATTTACCTTATTGGAATTGAAATTGGGAATTGACAAGAATTAGAATCACTAAAAGTCAAACTATGCCCAACCGTACCCGTACCCCACATTATTTTTTACTGGCACCTTTCTGTTCACACTGTTTAAGACCCTTTCTTTTCTTTTAAACCTTCACTTACCCTTCTTTGCTTTTGCCCTTCTTAAAAACAACCACATAATTTTATAAGTGAATGTACTTTTCAAAATTAGTTATAAAACATTTGCTCCTGGCAACAGGGAAAGGTAGTATGTTTGTTTAACATAGCGTCAAACATGACAATTATGAGACTAATATCATGTTTTGCTCCAAAATCCCTAAATAACATCAGTTGTGTTTGAAACAGTTAGCTTCTGTGGTTCCATGTTGCTTCTTATCACAGTGAGACTTAGTGTGATACAAGCTGTCAATTAGCGTTGCATTGCAGTTGTGTTTATTGTCTTCCACGTTTCATCAGTCAAAGCATCTCTATCTGCATGTTATTCAGCTGTAGAATACTAAAGTACTTTGTAACGCAGTAACGTGAGTAGTTTTGTTTTTAGCAAACTACTTTTTTACTCTTGCTTGAGTCATATTATTTTTCAGTACTTTTACTTGTACTCAAATAAATTATTCCTTAAGTAGCAATACTTTTACTTAAGTACAATTTCTTAGTACTCTTTCCACGACTACTGGAACCCTCTCGGGGCTAAACTCGGGGACTGGAACC